TATTACCCGATACTCTTCGCTCTAGGCTTTGGCTTGTTTCGGAACATCTTCGGTCTTTCAACGCTTGGTAAGGACTTCTTCGGATCGCTTCGAATGTTACTCGGAATTAGTTCTTGATCACAGTGTTCCCCGATGTTAGTTACTGCTTGTTTCGAACAAAAAGGGGACGATAAGCCTCTCACAATTATTTCGGGGTCGCCAGAGAAAATCAAAGCTTACCTTGCAGAATCTGCTTTAATGTGTGTTCGGCGGATCAAGATCCGAAGATATAAATTTTTTCAGTTCTTGCCGTAACACCACAAAAGATGATAAACATCTCAAAATAATTTCACAGTTGCGCTCCGGCACGTAATTGAAAAATGCTTTTCCTCTCAGAAATATCTGCGCATCGTGAAAAACTTGAAAATATGTTATGTACTCGAAAAGAGTGCATTTTACCATTTCAATCAGCGACTAATACTCAAAAGAGCCGCGACATTTGCAAAACAAGGAAAGTTAGAAATACGATACCTCGAGTTTAACAAGGACCATATGAAACGGTCAAACAGTGAAATGGCAGAATATCCTACAACACGGAAAGCCTTGTTGTATGAAACAAAAGTCTTACAAAAATGGAATCGCAATGAAACAGGAAAATAATATATGATTAATTGGCAAAATCAAAATTTAAAGAAGCCTAATCGTTATTGGGGCCTAGAGAAAAGACTGGTGGAGGAACAGTGAGTTTCTTGAGTAACCCTTACAAGCTAACATTACTATTTCTATTGTTATTATTATCATTATCATCATTACCATCATTATTTTTGTCATCATCATTTTTATTACAGTCAAAATGATTGTTTGATACAATTTAATTATTGGTGGTCGAGTGTCAATTAGTCACTATATCCTTGAATCATCCTTCTCTTGTGGAACAAGCCTGACTGATAAATAAATATGTGGGATGCGGTAACAGTAGCCATATACAGTCTTAATTGCCTATTTTTGAAATCATGTAACCACAAAGCAGTCAATATTCTTCCATGCGTATGGCATTGTCATACGGAATATTCTTCTTTCAAAATACGTATACCTTTGTGAAAACAATTTTAAAATATTGTTCTGGTTTCACACTGGACCGGCCAATTTTAAAAGGTTGATAGTTCTATTTTCTTAACATGTTTCTTTGATTGTATTACAACTGTTAGAAGTTTAGCACTCAACTGTTCTTGCCAGCTAGTTCCCTTAAATAGAGGAATTCGTTTGATGACTGTTTCTGGCTGCCATTAATTGTCAACACCCCTTTTTTTTAGGGTCAACAGAACCTGTGCAGATGCTATGTGTCTTAGTTTATGCTGCAGCAGAAATTGGTGGTGAACAGTTTATCAAAATGATCTTCAACTCGTCCGCCGGAAGAACAATTTATGACCTTTACAAAGACAACTCAGCTCTTCCTGAAGCTATTGCCAGAGAGTATGGGCATGAGAAGATAGCTACTTATCTTGAGGGGATAACTGGCAGGTATTCAGTTGCACTTGACTTCGGAATGAAGTGATTTAATTACGATTAGGATTGAAAAAAGATTGGGGGTATTCATCGTATTATTATACGGTCTTATACAATAATAGATCCACGTTTTCTTCTACAGCGAACCGCGGGTTGACATCAGCTGTTGAAGCGATTTTTGTGTGTAGATAATATGATTCAACGAGGCGGCTACCCAGGGGTGGTGCTAAGTTTTATTTTTATGGCTACGTACTGCCTCTTATGGAGACGAAGCCATAATATTTTCCTGTTAAGTGAGTGAATGTCACAATAGCGTTCGAACGACCTCTAAGCCGGTGCAGGCGTCTTATTAGGGCGAGTTAAGGTTAAGAAACGCGCGATCGTTTATTCAAACGGCCATGTTTAATTTAGAGTTAGAGTCGACGGTAGGGGAAAGGGCAAAAAGACGCCTGTGTAATATTCACTCCCCAACCCCTAGCCCCTCCTTATTTTTTCACTGTCGCTCACGCCTTTGGTCCAGATTTCTTTCTCTTTCCAGCCTTCTGCTTCCGTTAAAATGAAAGATGACGGCCATAATTTTCGCTTGGAAAATACTGAGCACTCGCTCGCCAAAATTACGCCTGCTCTATTGGCTAAGCCACAACGAGGTCTGCCGAGTTTTACTCGATATTCCCCGCTCTTAGCTTTTGTTTGTCTTGGGAAGTCTTCGGTCGGTCTTCGGTCGGTCTTCGGTCGTTCAACGCTTAGAATTCCGATCTTGACTCAATTTGAACCCGATGTTTCACAGTCAGCATTACAGAGTATTACAGGAGACCATAAATATCTCGCAATCATTTCAGAAGGGCGCGTGAAAACAAAAATAGCAACAACAAAGCTTTTCCTTGAGAAATATCTTAAAGGTGTGAGTATATCTGGAAATAAAATTTTTCAGTTCTTGTCTTGACAGTACAAAAGATTATAAAGATCTGAAAGTAGTTTCAGGTGGCGTCTCCGTCAGGTAATTGAAAATAAGACTTTTTCACGCAGAAATTTCTAAATAGGTTCGATTTGCACAGCGTGAAAACTTTGAAGCAAAGGTTTGTTTATTCGAAGAGAACGTATTTTACCATTTTAATCAGCGACTAAAGTCTAAAGGGCTGCTAAATTTGCAAAGCGACAAAAGTCCGAAGTCTTACGGCGTGACCCTGTTCGATGGAATGATGGAACGGTGAAATGGCGAAAAAGCGCAATGAAATAAGAAAATAACTTATAATTAACAGGCAAAATTAAAATAACCATAGTTTAATAATTATTGGCGCTTAGAGGATAGACCGAAAGAGGAAAGTGTAGTGTGGTCGTTCGGGTGAGTGTAGTCCTGAGAAGGACTGTTGTCGGTGTTAGTGACTGACGTTTCGGCAACCTGAGCGGAAGTCATCATCAGAGTCAAGTGAATAGTTGTTGTCAGTAGAATGTTCTTAGGCCAGTTCGTGTAAAATGATTGGTCAGTTTTGCCGTGATGCTCTTGGCTGTAAGACTCAAGTAGCGTAAGTCGGTCGTGATTGGTCTGTTTCGATCCGTCGGTAAAGTTAGGTCGTTCTGTTCGGTTCGTTTGTATTGTTAATGTCGCGTAGGAGTCATTTGTATGGAACCTGTAGTAGTTGACACCTGCTGAGAGAAGTCTGTTTTAAGATAGTCAACCAGCTTTCCAGAGTCAATCGTTGAGAGAAGTTAGTACTGTAGGTTAGGCATTGCGCAGAGTCCCAGTCAATATTGTGGTCCGCAAGTCGATGATATTCAGCAATGTGATTGTTGACATCACATTTCCTCGTCGCCCGTTTGTGTTCATTCAGTCTTGTTGCGAGGTTTCTGCCAGTCTCTCCAATGCAGGAGGCTCGGCAGTCGGAGCAATTGATCTTATAAATCGCTCCCTGTCTGTTCCTCGGTTTGACATTATTATCATTATCGATGTGATTATTTGTTACCATTTATTTATTGGTTGAATAGCAATTAGTCACTATATGCTTGAATCATCCTTCTCCTGTAGAACATGGTACTCATAACTATGTGAGATGCGGCAGGTTTTCTGTCTTGCATGTTGAACAAATCCTCTGCCAAACACTTTAAAACATTCTTTGAAAAGGAAAAGGAGAATGATGAGATTATAATGTGATGCTTACATATTTGTATATGAAGTTTTGATTTACATTTCCAAAAGGTGTTTAAAATTACAAAATATGAAAAAATATCGATTGAAAGGAGTAAGTAACATTTTGGCCTGGTTGAACCTATGAATCTAGTAAATTCTGATGTTGTTAGTTCCAATAGTGGAGGCGCGGTGGCCTCATGGTTAGTGCACTCGACTCTGGATCGAGTAGTCCGGGCTCGAGCCCCGGTCGGGACATTGTGTTGTGTTCTTAGGCAAGACACTTCTTTACTCTCACAGTGCCTCTCTTCACCCAAGTGTATAAATGGGTACCGGCAATTTAATGCTGGGGGTAACCCTGCGATGGACTGGCATCCCATCCAGGGGGGAGTAGAAATACTCCTAGTCACTTCATGCTACAGAAACCGGAGTTAAGCACCGGCCTAATGGGCCACTAGGCTCGTAAACAGACTTTACCTTTACCTTAGTTACAATTAGCATCATTATGTTTTTCGATCTACTGCATATTGTATATTGCTGAGTCTAACACAATTTAAATAGATTTTTTGAGACAAATTTTTCCTACTTAGATATTCTAAAGAGAGCAATGACGCCCCAAACTACCCCCAGACGATCGACTGGTCTGAGCTCGTTAGAGCTGTAGAGGAAGCACAAAAGCAGCCCAGTGAGTTGAAAATTTTAGCATTGCTGATTTAGATTATGTTTTTGGATATGTATACAGCTTGCAAGTTGTGAACTGATGTTTATGCGAAAGTAACCGCGGACCGTTAGGATCTTAGCGGAGGGTGACGTATGGGCAGTAACATGTTATTCCAATTAAATTTGTGCTTTTACCAAACAGGTTTCAGCAGTGAAGAAAAGAGCAATCAACTTGAAAGTAATGGTACAAAGGACACTGGTTATTTTGGAGACATCGACACCTCGTCTAACGAATCTTGCGAGAGCGTAAGCTCCGAGTCTGAAGATAACATTGCACTGGCGAGTTCTAAAGGTACCCTTTGATCATGTTTTTTTGTCATAAAAGTTAGTAGACAGTAAATTCTTTCCACCATTATACTTGTGTTTGTTATGTAAAACATTGAGTTATGTACTGGTGTAGAAAGAATTTACACGTATGTGCGTAGAAAAGTAAGAGAGCAAACAATAACCCGTTCTACAGACTGACACAACGCACAGGCTACCGAAATGTCAGTCACCACCACCGACAACAGTCCTACTCAGGACTACACTCACCGGGACGATCAGACTACACTTTCACATGTTAACTCCGGCTTCAAACCATTTACTGCATGAAATATTTACTATTTTTATACTTTATACACTCTTTTTGGCTCTAAGATGGTCATTATTTTTTCTTGTCTTATTATTGTAGCTTCCAAAACGCCAGGATGGGTCAAAATATTTTTACAACGAGCAGATGGTAAAGTGCTAGGCGAAACGAAGATTTGTTATTACGATCAAGATAAAGAGGCTCTTCAACGGATAATTGAAAATCCGAAGCTACAGGCGGATTTTTTTCGAAGTTATTCTGAGATGTTGATTTGTCATAACACTACAACAGTGAGTGGCGCTGAAGCACAAAACTATGGAATTTGTGGTGAGGGGCGCAACTTATTGCTTGTATCTAAATTTCATGAAAACCAATTGAGTGCCGTTGCATGTGATTCAAATCAAGGAAGAAATTCTAAATGGTTGGACTTTTAAAAAGTCGAGAATTCTGCACGGCTTGAGTGATGAACCATCTTACAATCAATGAAATTTTATAATTCAAGCATTATTTGGTAAATAAACCACTTCAGGCGGCTGATATGTCGGCTGATAATGTCCGCGATTGAGACATCGTCCGTGAATTGAATATTTGTTTTAATTACATATACTCAATTTTTACAGCTATTATCTCTTATGTAAGCGAAGCCATAATGTTGTCCTGTTGAGTGAGTGTAACAATAGAATGCGAATGACTTCTTAGCCCACAACGTGGTCTGCCGAGTTTTACCCGATATTCCTCGCTCTAGCCTTTTGTTTGTTTCGGAATATCTTCGGTCTTTCAAGTGTTGGTGACGACTTCTTGGGATCGCTTCGAATGTTATTCGGAATTAGCTCGTGATCACACTGTTTCCCGATGCCACTAATTGTTTGTTTCGGACCAAAAGTGGACGATAAGCATCTCACAATTATTTCAGGATAGCATACGAAAATCAAAGCTTTACCTTGCCGAAAGGTCTTAGAAGGTGTGCTCGGCGCATAATGAAAACTTTCACGAAATGTGTTTCTTTAAGGAGAGAGCATTTTACCGTTTGAATCAGCGAATTATGCCCAGTAGATCCGAAGATGTAACTTTTTTTCAGTTCTTGTCATGACACCACAAAAGATGATAAAGATCTCAAAACAATTTTACAGGGGCGTCTCCGGCAGGTAATTGAAAATTAATTTTCTTTTCAGAGATATCTGCACGTCGTGGAAAACTTAGGGAAAAATTTTTATTTACCCGAACAGAGCGCATTTTATCATTATTTCAATGAGCGACAAATGGTCAAAAGAGCCGCAAAATTTGGGAAGCGACCAAGGTCAGAAATACGATACCTCGAGTTTAACAGTGACCTTCTAGAACAGTGAAATGGCCAAACATCCTACAACAAGGAATTCCTTGTTGTATGAAACAAAAGTCTGACAAAAATGGAATCGCAATGAAATAAGAAAATAACTTATGATTTAGTGGCAAAATTAAAATTAAAAGAGGTCTAATCATTATTGGGGCCTAGAGTAAAGACCGATAGAGGAACAGTGAGGTTCTTGAGCTAACCGTTACAAGTTAACATTACTATTTATATTGTTATCATTATCATTATTACCATTATTATTATCTTTGTCATCATCATTATCATTATTGTTAAAAGGATTGTTTGATACCATTTAATTATTGGTGGTTGAATGTCAGTTAGTAACTATATTCTTGAAACATCTTTTTATTGTGGAACAAGCCTGATTCATAAATATGTGGGATGCGGCAGCAGTGGCCAAATGCAGTCTTAACTTCCTATTTTTGAAATTACGTAATGATGAAGCAATCAACATCCTTCCATGCATATTGCGTTTTCATACTGAATATTCTTCTTTGAAATATGTATACATTCGTGAAAACAATTTTAAAATGTTGTTTTGGTTTCACACTAGACCGGTCAATTTCAAAAAAAGGTTGTAATTTGATTTTCTTAAGATGTTTCTTTGATTCTATAACAAGTGTTGAAGGTTTGGCAATTAGCTGTTCTTGTCAGGCAGTTTCCTAAAATAGAAGAATTCGTTTGATGACTGTTTCTAGCTGCCATTAATTGTATACACCCTTTTTTTTTTAGGTTCTTCAGAACCTGTGCAGATGTTATGCGTCTTAGTTTACGCTGCAGCAGAAATTGGTGGTGAACAATTTATTAAAATGATCTTCAACTCGTCCGCTGGAAGAGTAGTTCATGACCATTGCAAAGACAACCCGGCTCCTCCTAAAGCTATTGCCAGAGAGTTTGGGCATGAGAAGATAGCTACTTATCTTGAGGGGATAACTGGCAGGTATTCAGTTACACTTGACTTCGAAATGAAGTGATTTAAATACGATTAAGATTGAAAAAGACTGGGGCTACTCATCGTGTTATTATACAGTCATATACAATAAGAGATGCACGTCTTCTTCTACAGCGAACCGCTGGTTGACATCTTATTGAGGCGAAGCCACGATATTTTCCTGTTGAGTGAATAAGTGTCACAGTAGAATTCGAACGACCTCTAAGCCAGTGCAGGCGTCTTATTAGAGCGAGTTAAAGTTAAGAAACGTGCGATCGTTTATTCAAATGGCCACGTTCAATTTGGAGCTAGAGTCGACGGTAGAGGAAGGGCGAAAAGATGCCTGCGTAATATTCCCTACCCCCTCCTTATTTTTTTCACTGTCGCTCACTCCCTTGGTCCAGATTTCTTTCTCTCCCTAGCCTTCCGCTTCCGTTAAAATCAAAGATGACGGCCATAATTTTCGCCAAGAAAATACTGAGCACTCGCTCTCCAAAATTAAGCCTGCTCTGTAGTCTAAGCCACAACGAAGTCTGGCGAGTTTTACTCGATATTTCCCGCTCTTGGCTTTTGTTTGTCTTGGAACTTCTTCGGTCGTTCAACGCTTAGAATTCCGATCCTGGCTCAATTTGACCCCGACTCGGGGTCAAATTGAGCCAGGATCGGAATTTTTACGGTCAGCATCACAGAGTATTACAGAGTATTACAGAAGACCATAAACATCTCACAATCATTTCAGAATGGTGCGTGAAAACAAAAATAACAACAACAAAGCTTTTCCTAGAGAAATATCTTGAAGGTGTGAGTATATCTGGGGATAAAATATTTCAGTTCTTGTTTTGACAGTACAAAAGATGATAAAGATCTGAAAGTAGTTTCAGGGTGGTGTCTCCGTCACGTAATTGAAAACAAGACTTTTTCACGCAGAAATTTCTAAATAGGTTCGATTTGCACATCGTAAAAACTTTGAAGAAAAGGTTTTATTTATTCGAAGAGAACGTATTTTACCATTCAATCAGCGACTAGAGTCTATAAAAGGGCTGCTAAATTTGAAAAGCGACCAAAGTCCGAAGTCTTACGGCGTGACCCTGTTCGATGGAATGATGGAACGGTGAAATGGCGAAAAAGCGCAATGAAATAAGAAAATAACTTATAATTAACAGGCAAAATGAAAATAATCATAGTTTAATAATTATTGGCGCTTAGAGGATAGACCGAAAGAGGAAAGTNATTCATAACCGCAGTCAATTCTTTTCACCCGGCTCTGAAATATACCTGGGAAATTTCTGACAATTCTTTATCCTTTTTAGACATCAAAGTTTCAATTGAAGGTAACGGTTTATGCACTAGTGTGTATTACAAACCTACAGACTCGCATAATTACTTGTTATATTCGTCTTCGCATCCATCTCACGTTAAGAATTCCATTCCTTTTTCTCAGTTTCTAAGACTTCGTCGTTTATGTAGTGATGACTCTGATTTCCACCACAAATCAGAGTCAATGTGCCAGTTTTTCGATAAACGTGGTTACCCTGTTTCTGTCGTTCAAGCGGGTTACCACCGCGCCCAACTTATTGATCGACATTCAGCACTACAAACGTCGCATAAGGAAGATTCCGACCGCATTCCATTCACTCTCACGTTTCACCCTCACAACCACTCAGTTAAATCCATCATTCTTAAAAACTTTAAATTACTTCAAAACGATCCAGAGACAAGCACTATCTTTTCGCAGCCTCCGCTCATTTCATTCAAACGCGACAAAAACATAGGCAATTTTTTGGTCAGAAGTTCTTTTCAGACTAATGACCAACCAGGCACTTTTAAATGCGCTCGTGCACGATGCAAAACGTGTCCTTTCATTCACAACACTGAGAAAATATCGGGACCCAAACGATCCATTAAGATCACCGATCACTTCACGTGCACCTCCGCCAATGTAATCTATTGCATAACTTGCACTTATTGCAAAAAGATTTACATCGGCGAAACAGGCAGAAGACTAGGTGACCGATTCCGAGAACACCTTCGCGACGTGGAGAGGAATGACAAGGACACATCGAAACCAGTCGCTAGACATTTTAATTTACCTAATCATTCTAAGCAACATATGGCAATCTGCGGTCTTTCCTTACACTTAGGTAGCACGGAAAGCCGTAAAACTCTTGAACAAAAGCTCATCTTTCAAACCGGCAGTCTAAATCCCACAGGTATCAACGAACGCTTTTCATTCCACTAATTTATTCGTGTTTTTCTCGTTGCCATGTTCCCACCAATAACGTAGCTCCATTTTCTGCCTTTAAAAGCACACACAACCCACAATTCCTCTATTCGCTCCGACGAAGGGCTAACGCTCGAAACGTCAGCTTTTATAATCGTAACGGTGGCCAATTTACCATTTCAACTTTGTTAATATATTCAAATTATTTCGTTACCCCCACCGATGCAGCCCCAAACCGTTTCTTTAGAAACTATCAGCCTTTATCCAGTCGCAAAGATCCCATTTGCATTCATAAACAACGAATTTTCCATTTTATTGGGAAAATTGTATCGTTATGGATATCAAAACCCCGTTACAGACCACAAGTGTTTGATTGTCAACAGTCGTAGTCATGGCTATAGTTAACGCAGCCTTTTGTTCTCTTTTTTTTTTTTCCGCAGTAGAAGTGGATTACCTTGCAGATGAGCTCAGCGAAATCAGATTGGTACTTGAAGATCAGAAATTTAGAGTCAAGAATACAGCTGTGAACAAAAGTTTGACGTCGTTTTGCAAAACTGGACATTTTAACCGAGAGCAAGTAAATTCTATAGTGTCCAACAGAGTTGTGTTACCGACCATCGAAGGAAGGGAACTCTCCCTTTTTCAAGATAGCTTCAATCTAGAAGCGCCCGGCTTGAAACACCTGAGAAGTCTGAATAGATGTGACACTTCCTTCTTCCTTGGCTTAGAAGAGGAAAGTATCCAATCTCATGTAATCACGGAGTGTGAAAGGTGGTGCTTCCTGTTTAAGTGCATAAAAGACAGCAGTTCACAGAGTCACACCTTTGTCGCTGAAGGTGGACAATTTGTACAAAAAGTTAATCAGGAAACCCAAGCTGTTATGATGGGGGCTTCCTCTGGCTGCTTTGAAGACATTCCTTGCATACAATCAACTAGGGGTAAGGAACTGATCGTATGTATAATAATTCAGTCGAAGTTAACTTTGGTGAAACATTCCCAATATAAAATAATACGTTTGATCGGCCTTCATCTCTTGGGTGTGGGATACATTTTCCGAATTCCTGATCTTTGTTTCAATTATTGTTATTATTTTTCTAGAACTCTTAACAACGTCAGATAATCCGGAGTTAGCTGTTCAATTCAGTACGACTCAAGGGTCAATGAAGCATTCCACTTCTTCCAATTTATGGGTGTTGAGTTGTCTGTACCGTCCAGCGAGGAGGATTTTGTTTGTATATGTAAGTATTAAACAAGTGTAAATACTCGACTTTTCCGCCTTAACTTTCCTCTCCTAAAAAGAGATAGATAATTCAACTTTTTCAAATCATTCTTTTTTCAAGTCGTCAGTCAAGGGTTTTAAGTCCGCCCTGAAATTCTAGATACCGGACTTATGATAAGGCACTTGACTGAAAACACTCCTCACTCGACTGTGATGATTACTTCACTCAGGTTGTCGAAACGTCGGTAGGGACTTTAAGCAAACCACGACGGCTACGGCAACGAGAACGTGGAAAAACAATAGATCTAATTGGCAGAACAAAAGCCCAGCACGTGCGTTTTGAAACTTTGTACATTTCTTAGCCGTCCTTTGCAAAACAACAACGTGAAATCACCAAAATTTGCGTCGTCTGCGAAACGAGACCGCGGCGGCAAATTATTTCAATTTACATTTGGAACTGAACGCTACTCTTATGCGTTATGTTGAGTTTGAGGTCTGGCGCCCTATGAGACGCAAAATTCGAACTAAAAGTAGAAACTCATTTCTTAATCGACGTGTTCCGTGGCGTTGCCGTCCTGACTGCTTAAGGTCCTTAGCGACAACGGTCTTTCTCAGGACCACCCTCACCCAGGGGATCAGACTACACGATCAGATGTTACCCACAGGTTAAAACCTTTTACCAATGTACTGACCATACGCCTTCTCGTGATAAATATGTACGTTAGGGGCTGATAAATATACAGTTAGCTTTAAAATCTTTTCCCTCTTTGGTTTTTGAGGTTGCAGACAACAGTGGTATTTTATCTCGCAAAGCGTATTTCAATGATAACAGATACGAATTGTCAACTCAGTGCTGGCAGTGGCAGCGATACAGCAGCAGTTTATTTGATGTCCAAAATAGGCTACAAGAAGTAAAAAAACTATCAGGTACTTCGTGCTTCGAGTTTATTTCTACTTTTATGGTTCAGTGCTTGGAAATGTTCTGAATTTTTACTTAGGCTTTTTTTTAACACGACTAACGAGTCTTCTAATTTGACCTATTATCCTTTTAATGTTAGCGCCCACTAGACCAGAATTTGGCCCAAACCCTCTTCCTACGTACAATGGAAAGGTATGTTTGTGGGTTTCAGCGACATTTTAATTTTTTTAAACAAGAATTTTGTTGGCTTTGATACGCATGTAGTACTCAGTACAGCAAATACCAGTCATTCGATATTTCATCATGTGCCTCGTCAAGAGGTCCAAGCCCTTAAAGTTGAAACTCTTTTATTTGAAAACTGAAGTGTTGGTTGCATTTGACAGGACGCAATCAAAGCTTCCACTCTTTTACTTGAGAACTGAAGTGTTGGTTGCATTTGACAGGACGCAATCAAAGCTTGCACCGTTGATAAGTCCTTTTAAAATGAAAATTGTTTCTCAGAATAGCTCGATTGTTACTTGAAGATTTTTCCCATTTAAGAGTTGTAAAAAAGGCTGGAAGAATGTTTCGATCGTGTTTTGAGATGTAACATAATGAAATCACAATAACGCAAAGTAGGACATGAATGC